AGGTGACTAAGGGAACTTAATAGCCGAGGGATAAGCAACAGTGTCTGTTCGAACACTCAGGTTGCGGAATGAGCTCCCTGCCGAGGTTTTCCCAAGAGACTACAGCATGGGGTTCTTCAAAAGGAGGGTAAAGAGGTTTCTTCGGGGTCGGCAACGAACGCGTAATACCTCTGGTATTGCAGGTGTTTATAGGCTACGGTTACCACTTACCATCAGGTGGGCCGTATGCTTGTTTGCCACCTCAGTAGTATAAACGAAAGTGTCTCTTTTAAAAGGAAAAAAAAGGTTTAACTGCGGTTTCCATCTCGCCTGCCAAGTGTGGAAACTAATGGTAAAATCCACACTTAAGGAAAAGACCTATGTTCAACTGTGGACAGTTAAACGGCTAATATAATGATATGATGAATAGAAAGAGGTTTGTTTGAATCGAAGCATTTGGCGTTCCATTGTTTCTGCCTAACCTAATGGGAGACAGGCGTGACAGATATGTATGTATGTATGTATGATGAATAGTTATAATTAAAAAAACCGAACCCGGCAACTGGCAACCACGAGAAATCTTTAAAAAAAATGTCCAATCGTCAGCAGATTTAAAGTCAGCGCATAACGGTATAAATTTGCATGCGTCGTACATTCTATAGATTGATCCAATACCTAATCTACAAGTCAAATAGCATTTTTATTAAAGTCGTTAGCATTCTATGAGAATATTTTATAAGAGAACCGGAATACTTTTATCCAAAGAAAGATTAAATTACAGGGTACAGAGGCATCTTAGTCCTCAGGAAAAGCAACGCGTGAAGGGTATCATGAGCGATGCAGTACACACTGTTATGTCCATGGTATTGCTCATATACCACTTTCAATCAAATGGGCTGTTAGCTAGTCGTTCTAAGTCGCGTAAAAAAAAGATGAGTTAAAAACGACAAAACTTTTGAGAATCCTATAATTATACGCTGCGTCTAGACTACTAATTTAAAAACTTTCTCACGTTTTTTAATCTGTTTCATTTTTGTAGGAAAAAATTATCGGAAAATGGCTGTCAACTGTGTTCCAAAAAAAATGTGACTTCAGTCGTGAAAATATTAAAGTTAATTAAAGTGTATTGATTTAAAATCAGTTATTTAAAAACTATATCACTATACAGATTTTGACAAAAACTTTTATGAGGCAAATCCAAAAGTATATTCTTTTAGATAAAAAAAAAAGAATTTTCTAAATTGGTTCACAACTGACGGAATTATGAGATAACAACACACAAAAAAAAAAAAAACTACAGAATTGATAACCTACTGCTTTTTTCCAACCGACTCAAAGGAAAATCTCAATTCGGTTGTATGTTTTTGTTTGTTACCACATAACTTCGTCAGTTTTAAGCCTATTTGGAAAATTACGTATGTAATGCGTTTATACAATATATGCAGATCGTATGACTGCCTATTATATTATATTTTTAAAATAACACAATTAACATGGAAAGGTTTTGCTGGAAGAAATCTCTTATTAGAAGAGATAAGCTCGCCCTTGTACATTATGTTTATAATGAATTGTAATTAACAGTATGTTTTGTGTACAATAAAGAATTATTCCTTTATCTAAAAGGATATACTTATAGATTGCTCCACTGGAAATTTTACGAAAATAGCTTATAGTAATTCAGTTTTAGACCAAAATAACTGGTCTTATCATAATTAAAATCGATTTCTTTCATGTGGCACAATCTTTCCTAATTTAAAAAAGAATATATATATATAAAAAATATATAAAAAATCTATGAGTTGCCGCCTGTTATCGCCGAGAGAATAATTCAAATCGTATAATAGAATCTGTGAGCACGTGTTTGCGCTACGAGGTCATGAACACGAATTATCTGTATTCGACGATTCGTTTGATCATACGTCACTGATCACATCCTAATCTATAAATAAACATATATATAGTATTTTAACTGATATATCTGTCATCGGCGAATCTACATTGTCAATCGTTGTATTAAACAGATTATTTTATATGTAACTTACAAGTAAAATAAAGAATATATATATATATATATATAGTTATGACGATTAACCGTTACGATAGAACCGACAGTTAGCTCAATTTGCTAACTCCACGCCCATCCGCGAGCCTACAATGTCAGGCGTTCTATTTAACAACGCACAGATACAATTCTCATTTATATAATCAGACAAATCATGCTGATGATTGGTTATTATATTGCTTGATAGAGTAACACTCAATTTGCTAACTTCACACTAAATAAATTGAACGTGGTAGGCAAGGATGAGCCTATCGGTGTTATCTACAATATTTATTCTCACGTTTATAGTTTTACAAACAGGCAGTGAAAACAGGAAAAATATAAGAACGTGAATGGCGTGAATTTACTGGGTACGGAGGAATAATACCTGAGTCCTTAGGAATGGCAACGCATGGGAGTTATCATGGGCGAAACAGTATACTCTGTTATGTCCATGGTACTGCTCATGTCTATAGACGACGGTTACCACTTTCCATCGGGTGAGCCGTCTGCTTGTTTGCCATTCTAAGTTGTATAAAAAAATGTATATATATGTTCTCCATTAACGAAAGATTTTTTGTATGAGATTATCCTAGCGATAAGGCCGCCTTTCGTAGATTTTTGTGTATAATTTGAACTGTACAATCAAAAGGATAATGATCCTACTGTATATGAATTGAATTTTCTTATTGTCATTGTATATTTTTACGTATTAGGTATAATAAAGAGTTAATCAAATAAATTAAAATAAAAAAAACAGAATAAATTGAACTGAACAGAAAATTTGGAATGAATAGATAATGTCTAATAAGTATGTGAATAAAAAATATGTATAATATGCAAACTCATTTGCTTATGGCAAAAAAAAAAGTTGATTGCATGATATGTAAAAAGAGAGAAGTCATAGACAACAAGCTGAATTATTGAGACCTAACATCTGTATTAACCTTCAATTGTGAGATAAATCAGACTGCATTATGTCTAAGGCCAATGGCATTTAGCATAGGGTTGTCAACTGTGTGAATTAATATAATTTGCATTATTGTAGATTTCAATATGCAATACATGCAATGCAATTTCAAAATGCTAATACATGTAAATGGTAAGCAAATTAATAACAAAGTTCCATGTAATTATTTAATCAAAGCTAAATCTTTTGCAATGTAATATAATAATGGCAGGCTTATCTCAATTAAGTCTTAAATTAAATTATAAATATTTAATAGCATCAGAATTTAGCAAAAAATATAAGAGGGCAAAATTATATTTAATTGCCATTTAAACAAACACAATATACAGTGACTTTCAAATGATATGACATTTAAAAACAAAACTTTATAATTTTTTATTTATACCCAAACATCTACAAAGTTTTACATTTATAATGCTAGTTTCCATGGTTTTAACTGCATAAATAAAGGATAAAAACAATCCTATATTGATATAATGTTTTATCTATCAGTGTACCAAATTAAATCTAAATCTCTTCAACCATTTAATTGTTTATTGGACAACAAAAATCTAAATTTAGAAATTTTTAAACTTTATCTGTACTTACTTAAATAATTGCTCAGTTAGTGCCAGCCCTAATATAGGTAATTGATACTTTATTGTATTATATTGAATGCATATTGCTCATGAATATAATACATATTTAATTATGTTGTATCTGCATAATAAGTTAGTGCAATAAATAATTCAAGAATGTTGTGTTTAAAGCTTGCTATATATCTAACTGTAGCCATACTTACTATAATAATGCGTACTACCAGTCTCATTGTTAGCAATATGCCCAAAAAGGTCAACATCCACATGGTCCCCCCTGGAAACTATCGTGCTGAATTTCAAGTGAATTCATCATGATGGGCTAATTGACTTGCTTTTTCATTCTCACCTATCATCCGTCACTGGTGCCCCGCCAGTGTATACCAATAGTGCAGGCGGAGTTACTATTCCATTATCATTCATAAAAAAAATACACGGGTAGTGTATTATCTAAATAAATCTATGTATCTCACATCTGTTTGAATAAAGAACAATTATTTACATAATATAAGTGAACACCTATGATATTCACTTACATTAATTTAAATAATCTCACTTTGATTCTATAAAATTTAATATTGATAAATACTCATAAATATTTTAAATATATTAAATGTGAATGTTTGTAATAATAGATGGGTGTTTGATACTCTTTCATGCAATCGCTTTGGAATCAAAATTTTTGTTTGTATAAATAAAATCTGTTATTGGCTGTATTCATAAGAGACTTAGCGTGTAAATTGTTTTTTAAGAGCTGTTGATTTCTGTATAAAGTAAAAAATAAAAAAAAAAAAAAAAAAAATTATAGAATAATTTTGAATGAAATTTAATAGAAAAATAAAAAAGCTGTAAGTGAATATAAATATATTTTGTAAATAAGAAGGTGCAATGAAAAATGAAATGTTTAGGAACCCTCAAATTGGTACTATTTAATTAATATCCTAATATAAGTAAAAACTAATATTATATAAGCAAAATTTTGGAAACAGGTTTGGGGGTATGTTACTTAAAGGCTGAATATTTGTCAAGTTATATTGTTTGAGAGTATTAATAAATATAAATTATGGAAGGACTTTATATTTAAAACTAAGCGGGTACCTAAACTTACAGTTTGTCAAGGAATCAGTGCCTTAATTCATTAGATGCCACAGCCACAATTCATATTTGGATCCATATTAAGTATATTCTATTTTTTTTATATTTTTTAACTATTTTAAAAAGGAGCTTCTTAATTTACAGATTTTTTTTTTTTTTATAATATGTAATACCTTTATTATATAGTTTTAAAATTTTCTTCACAGATGGACATATAATAATATTGACAAATTAAAATAAGTTCTCTATTGAAAACCTCATAAATTATTTATAAATATTCAATTTAAGTAGCAGATAATTCTTATTTGAACTGAAAGAGATTATTACAATATAAACTTACCCATCTAAACTCTTGCACGGCCGGACATTGGCATATAAGTCAAATTCTTTCCTAAGTGCCAAGTTGAGAGATCTGTAGCCTTTACCCACTGGGGTCATCAATGGACCCTTGAGACCAATCTTGTTAGTATTCACTGAATCTATAGCTTTCTGTGGAATACCAAATTTGCCATCGGGCCCCTAAAACAATAATAGAACTTATTTGTACAAACATAGAATTAAAAAAAATTAAGTAACCTCTAAAAGATTTTAGATCATAGATTTTAGACACTTATATAATTTAATGATACTTCAAGTAGTGTTACCTAATTTAAATATATATAATTGTATAAGAGTAATTAATTCTGAACAATGAGATTTCCTTATTTATTTTTATGCAAATTTATTTTGTAACTTAAATAGCAAAAATTACTAAAAACAGAGTACATTGTAATGGTAAAAAATATAACAATTTTCTTCTTAACATAGCATTTATAAATAGTATATAAACTATATAGAATGTATAAATGCTATAAAAAAGTTGAACATTTACTTTTTACAACTAAGTACTTTTTTAATTTTTCATAATTTTTAACACCTACCAACAAAAACTGATTTTAATTATCTGTTTTGTAAGTAAATAATAATTATCATTCAACATTTATCTCTTTATTCTTTATTGGTCACATTTACAAAATCTAAGGATACCCACTATATGAATAAAAATGCTATATAGCATTTACTTTCAGTAAACCCTTGAGAGAACAGACATGGTATTTAAGTTTTTTACAAGTTTAAATAAAGAATAAAAAAAAATCCCATTTAAAAAAAAATTATCCTCAAGTACTCACTCTAACAGCTGTGACGTCCACCTCATCCCACTCGATAGGCACTTTGGCTGCTTCAAATATTTTCTGCACGGCTACAGTGATCTCTGGTCCAATTCCGTGGCCAGGAATCAGCGTTACTCTCCGAACACCCGTGCTGTAGGCCGCCGAGCCCGCCCGTCCAGCCGGCACCTGCCCCAAAACATCAGAAACCTCAAATAACTGCCACATGATATCAAACCAAGAACAAACAAAAAGTGTTTCCTAACCTCATTTTCCCTGCCTCTAACCACTCCAGCGCTACCTCCCGACGACGGCGCCAGCCACTTCGATAATCCTTCAAACAGTTTACTCTCACGAAAAGGCTTCAAAAGCTCTTTTATGTAATTCCTCGACATAACTATAGTACATCTATTTTTGGATGGCAGGAATAATGAAGCGGATATTCTTTTAACACAATGATAATATAAATCACATGCAACAGGGACAAAATCTAGTTAATATAAAACACTAGATTACGAACTTACAATTTTCCTGATTATTCTTGAAGCCATTCCTTTAATTTTTGTAATACGACGAACGACCGATATCACCGCGGTCCACGGCGGAGGGGGAGGAAACTACTGGCGCCACAACTACGCATGACCGGATATAGTTATCAAGGACATCTAGCGGGAAATAGACAAAATAACTTTATGTTTCTGCAAAAAAAAAATATTTAAATCCAAACAATAGGACTTAGATAAATTATATATTATTTATAAATCTATATTTTAATTTAATTTAATTAACTTAATTTCCAATAATAGGATAACAAAATTTTGGTAAAAAATATGAAGCTGGCAATTATGAAACAAAAAAATCAGTATCGTTTAAAAAAAATAAATATTCCTTAACAGTATGTAAATGATTACTAATTATTAAAAATTATATTAGCACGATTGTTTGCTAATCGCTGAATTATTAAATGATTTTTTTGTGACAAAAATACTATTTACTATTTAGCGCCTACAGACTGAATTAATTTGTAATAGTACTCATAATATTAGTTCCTTAATAACACTTAAAAAAGTTTATTAAAATAACTAAACATATTTAAAAAAATGAAGAATTGTAGCAAATGAATATGTAATTTTCGGCTGTTACAATCATTCTTTGCTCATCAAGAGAATTTAGAGCGATGATCAAGATGGACTTTTATAAAATCATAATATCTAAATGTTGATATATGAATTGTACATATTATATAAGGGACCCACCCATTCATAGTTACTTATGTCCATGGTACCATTCATGTCTATAGACGATGATTAGGCACCATTTTCTATCAGGTAGATTGTTAGCTTGTTTAAAAGGACGTAAACGTGTTTAACTCAGTTATAAACGTTACATTTCTTAGTGATTACTTGTTCTATGATTTTTAATTGGTATCCGTGATCTGTGGTATAAATAGAGATAATAAAATTATTATGACAACTGGCAAAATTGACAGATTATATTCGAATAACAAATACAAACAGTTTCTAAATTATGTTTTATTCTAAATAATTACTTATTTAAGAGTCTATTTTGATAGATATTAATTTCTAATAACATGGATCCACCACTTTCATTGAAGTTGGCTTCTATGAGCCTAATATCACAACGCAAATTAGAGAATATCCTTGCATTGTGTGGCGATAAAAAGGATCTCATAATAGACCCAATTCTTATTAAACCATTGGAAAGAATATGTGGTGTGGGTTGGCTTAGGTGAGTTTACAATATATTATATTTATAGACTGACACCTTTTCCCTATTGAAGTTTTTGATAGGTGAAAATGGAATGGTAACCCCGCCACCGATAACGGTATACGCTGGCGAGGCACCTGTGAGCGATGATAGATGAGAATGAAAACAGGTCAGTCAACCTACCATAATAAATACATCAAGAATTAACTATGATATTTTCTAGGGGGAACCGCGTGAAGGTCGACCTAGTTGTACATATTGCTAGCAGTGGGATTCTTAGTCTCCATTGACCCTTTCCCCCTCTCTCTATTGAAGTAGGTATTAAGTCCTGCAAATAAATCTATTTACTTACCTTGTATCTATTTTATAGTAGATTCCCTATGGGGCAGACAGAGTATATCTTTATTCACATCTTTCATATTATCTGGTTTCATCATAATTTCCATCTTTTTGCCGCATTTCGTTTCTCCAAGAATAAAAATCTGAATACAAAATGGTAGGGAGATTTGGCATGAAGATATATATATATAAGACTCTTCTAAAAGCTACCTATTGGTTTAATTCTTTCAAAGGGACATAGATAGGCTTAAATCCAAGAGTGACCTGGAATTATGTGTCTTATTCCATGTCCAGTAAGTAGGCTTTATTGTCCTTTGAATCTGATCACCTACTACTTTTTCAAAGTTATGACTATAACTACAGTTAGCATTATAACATGCTCAATTACAATACAAAATGCCAATCCTAGATACAGGTAACAAAAAAATTTTATGTACTTTCAGTTTTAATACTATTCAATATGAAATTGGTCAATAATTTCCTTTAATTAAAAATAATGTACGCATGTGGTAATATTAAATAAATAAATCTAAGTTGTGATGAGTAATTTAAATTGAAAAATTTCCATTGAGAATCAATATGTATTAATATCTGTCACCACTTTATATCAGGTGGGCAGTCAGCTTGGTTTTTGTTGTTGCTAATTAATGTTGTAAAAATTTGTTTCATTGCAGGCAACATGGAATTGACAAGATCTACAAAATGGACCCCCAGTTGGGTACAACAGCTAACATTAACAGAGTCTATTTCATACCAGCCAGCATTCAGAAATACAAATGTGTTTTAGACCAGATCTCATCACTGATAAGTCAAAATGCTTCGTTGTCAGATTTGGAATGTTTTCACATAATAATTGTACCAAAATTTATTTGTTCTTATGACTCTATACTTGAGAGCAGGGGTTTGTATGGCATTGTTAAGTTACATTCTTTTTCATGGGAGTTAATGGTATTAGATGAGCAGCTTATGAGTTTAGAATTGCCATTTTTATATAAGCAATTGTTTGTCGAACAAAATCATTCATTGTTATCGAGTATTGCCATGTCAATATGGAGTTTATTTCATGTCATCGGTAAACCAAAGATATTATTTTCTGTGGGCAAACTTTCAGCAAGTGTTTTAGATATATTACAAGTTTACAATGAGACTTATGCAAGAGATTTTATAAATAATGATAGTTCACAAGAAATAGGCGCTTTAATATTGATAGATAGAAATCAGGATTATCCATCAAGTTTATTAACGCCAGCAACATACAGTGGTTTGTTGAGTGAGCTTTTCAATATAAATTGTGGTCATTTAGATCTTAATGTGAAAGAAACAATACAGAAAAAAGGAAAAATGGATTTTGGTTTTAAGGAAGAAGATGTTGCTAGCAAGACCAAAAACACAGTGATGACATTAGATAGTTCAATAGATAGCCTCTATGGAGAGATAAAACACAGACATTTCTCAGAAGTTCTAAGTGTGTTGAGTTCGAAAGCAAAGCTGTTGAAAAATGAAGATATCAAAGCATTAGGCATACAAGAAATGAAGCACTATGTCACAACAAAACTGCAACATGTTGCATTATTTAAACAAAATCTAGTCAACCATGTATTAGCTTGCGAAACAATAATATCAGATATGAGTAAAAAATTCGAAAATCTAAAGTGTACTGAAACAGAAATGTTAAATAATCGAAATAAAAAGTCAAATTTTACATTTGTTGATGAGAATTTTGGTACTGATATACATATTTATAATAGTTTGCGGCTAATGTGTCTTCTTAGTTTGACTCAGGGTTTGTCTTATGATGAATACAATTCCCTTGTTAGTAAATATTTGATTGCTTTTGGATACAAGTATCTCTATGTGTTCCATAATTTGGTTAATGCTGGCTTGTTGGTACAACCCTCTAGTCCTAAACTTTCCCTTAGTATTTCCAATTTAAGTGACAGGCTACCTAAATGGCAAAGTGGGTTTCAAGTGACCGCCAATAAATTGAAGCAGCTGCCTCCTCAGCCAGATAAGGTTAGCAAGTCATCTCCGAGTTATGTCTTCAATGGTGGATATGTTCCACTCACTGCAGTTATATGTAACACAGTTTTAACATCGGAATCTCTAGCTGAAATTTTCACTAAATTATCAGCATTGCCAGACCTGAGAGTTGGTGGGGATATTCTTGAAAAATTCAGCAATGGGATGGAGACATTGAATCAGAAATTATCAGACTTAAAACTACAAAGTGACTTGGAGTATGGGTGCAAAGATGCCAAGGGGTTGGCAAAGTTATTGAAGAGTGAGCCTAATATTGGTAACATATTTCCTCTAAAACCTAAAAGTGTATTTGTGTACATGATTGGTGGTGTAAATTATGCTGAAATAGCTGCCTGTGATCTCGTACAGATTTCAACTGGAAGCAAAATATATATAGCCAGTGACTGTGTGGCAAGTGGCAGAGATTTGTTGGTAGCCAACACATGAATATCATAGAAACAAGTACAGGGATTAAGATCTGTTAATACATTTTCAAAATGTATATATTTTTTTTTTTTTTTACAACACAGATGGCAAACGAGCATGCGGCTCACCTGATGGTAAGTGACTACCGCCGCCCCTGGTCACCCACAACACCTACGGCATTGCAGGTGTGCTGCCGTATGTGTTATTATGTGTGTAAAATATTAAATAAACTCTCCTATATTATTATACTCATAAATGTGAAAGTCTGTAAAGATGTATGTTGTTATGTATATGTTAATCATGCTTAAACAATTGTATATGTTATTAATTTTTATTTAACGCAGTAAGATAATGTTCAAGAATCTTTTTTATATATTTTAAAATTTTATCAATTTCTATTCATATTCAAAAAATTTAAATAGATTTTTTTATAAGCTTTTTTAAATCACTATCTTTTTAAATTGTATTGTTGAGTTTAAAATGTTGTTATTTGCTGAGAAGAACCCACAAGTAGCTCAACAGTTACTCTTTTAAATCTTAGTTAACTTAATATTTGTATTAATGTAATGACATGGTCATTTAGCCCGTTCATAAAAGTCACTATGAAATATCTCGATGTTGCTAGAATTGTCAAAGTACCTGTAATCATAATTTTTATAATATTGTATACAATAAAAATATTTTCCTTACATTTCAAAATTTTCTATTTAATAATAGTATTGTAATTTGATTCAATAAAAAACAATTCAGTACTAAAATATTTTATTATACGGACACTTACAACTATGATATCACAGTATAATAATATGTTACACTTTCACCACAAAGCAGTTAGCACAGTATATAGGCAATAGGCAATTTAAACATTTGTAGTGAAAGTGAAATGAATGGTGAAATGTTCTATTATTTCACCTTAGCTACTGAAATATTGGTTATAAAAAAAAAATTTAAAAGGCAATTTGTCTTAATGTGATTGGTGGATTATCTCCATCTCAGATAGTAAAAAACAGCTTTTACCCATAGATACTGTGGTACAGGTTTCATAATGAGACCGTTATGGTCTTGGCATCACCATATTTTACACAGTTCATACACATAATAATGAAACCTGAATTAAGAATTTAAAAGTACTTATAATATGGAAATTTAAAACAATTTGAGTATTTGAAAACTCATATTCACCGCGTTAATATTTTCGGAGTCGCTTTCGATAGAAAAAAAAAACATACAATCGGACAAGTACCAAATTTGATTTATTTTTTAATAGCTACCAGATTCAAAGTCGTGATTTTTGTTTCTGTAAGTCAGAACAATCTCGGCGCTTTACCCACTCGAGTCGGCTTTATTCGACAGTGAGACTTTTGTCTGTATGTTTGTTTTTATTTTTCCGTTTATTTAACGTCTTAATGTATTAACATAGTACACAGAACACAGATTATTATAAGTTTACAATATATAAAAAATATTTCTCATAGTCAGGAATATAAAAAAAAAAACTTAGTACGAACAGTTGTTGCCTTGTATAAAGTGCAAAATTTTAAAGCAGTTATTTATCGGTGACAAAATCTCTCTAATATTTTGCACAATTTTTTCTCCTGCTGATTGTAAATTTACATTTTTTATAATTATAATCAAGTGAAAACGTACAAAACGGCTATACCTAGTCTGTTTCAATGGAATTTAATGGAAATGTAAACAATAGATTAATTAATCAGACCATCGAAGATTATAAAGTATATAAATCTAAAAGAAGAAACATAATAACATATTTAAAGAGAGATACTTTGTACAAAAATCGATTGCTTGGGCACCTCTGTCCCATTCGTGTTTCAACCGTGAAGCAGTTGTGTTTGCATGGCTGTGTTTCGGTTTGAAGGGTGGGATATGGCGTGAATTTACAGGGTACAGAGGAATAACACCCGAGTCCTCAGGAATGGCAACGCATGGGGGGTATCATGGGCGAAACAGTATACTCTGTTATGTCCATGGTACTGCTCATGTCTGTAGGCGACGGTTACCACTTTCCATCAGGTGGACCGTCAGCTTGTTTGCCATTCTAAGTTGTATAAAAAAAAAGATAGAAAAGCAAGACATTAATTTACACAATACAATATGCTGAAAATGGATTTGGCGGGAGTATTAACAAAATATGGTTTTATTATTTTTAAATTTTGAAGTTTAAATTCGTTTTAAGTGTGCTGTACCTGAATATAACGTAAATCAGGTAAATTAACCTTAAAATTGCACATTTTTCATGTAATTAAACTGTAAATATACATTTAAGCACAACATTCTAAAACATACAGAAATGTTATGTACAAGAATTGGTAGAAAAATACATCTAATTTAATTAAAATAATGTTAGTTAAATATCGCCGAATCGAAATTAAATATATAATAAATACGTGTAAAAATTCACTATTTTTGCAACTTCAATTCTATACAAGTACACTGTTGTAATCATTATTTTGTCTCGTTTTTGTGTTTGCAATGCTAGCCTGTCAGTACGTAGTACGTTTAGATTATATAGATAGAGTGTGTTCATAGAAATGCTTAAAGAAAAACGGGTTAACTTTTTCATACAATTTTCTATTATAAATAATTATGAGTGATTCTTTATAACTTTATTTATTTTGTCTTATAATTTCTCCATATTTTTTTAATGCGTAAACACTTATTTTATTTATTAAATAATACGTCAAGATACATTTTATGCGTAAGTATATGGAATACTAATAGCAGGGAGTCAGTGGCTGCAGGTGACTCAGGACCGTTGTTTATGGCAATCTATGGAGGATATATATATATATATATATATATATATATATATATATATATATATATATATATATATATAGATATATATATTATTGCATAAAACATATATAATACAATAAGTTAGTAACAATGTTAGCAAAGGCGAACTTATCTCTGAAAGAGATTTCTTCCAGTCAACCTAACACAGTGGCATAGGAAGTAGTAAGTGGGCAGTAGTAGTGCTAAACAGAGGTTAAAATAAATAGGCTTATGTCCAGCAGTGGACGGATAATGGCTGAGATGACGATGATGATATAGAATACTGATAAAAAAAAAACGAATCAGCCAATTTGCCAATTAGCTGTCAAAAAATTTTCCCGTTTTTGAGGCTCGATCTATCTACATAATCTAAGGTAGTAAGTTATGCTACGTCTATGGATCAAACAATACGCTGATGTATAATACCATTGATTTATCATTAATTTGGACAGTATTTCTGTGACAATTTTAACCAAACTTGGTTACATTTCCATTATGTTGTATTGGAACAATACCATTAATTTTCATTAATTTTATGGTTACATTATTTGCGCCAGTACTGAGCAAACTTGTGGAAGTGCTCCACCAGGACCGCCATTACCGCCGTCACGGACATGTCTAGCAGGTTCTGCAGGTAATGGACAGCTTCCTCGTCGCCCAGGTCCAGTCTGCAAAGAAATATATTAAATAATTGAGGCATGACAGATAGAAAGATAATTTATTTGCATTACTTACAGCACACAAATTAAAAAAAATATATGTATTGCACAAACATTTTTTTTTACAACACAGGGGGCAACCCAGCATGCGGCTCACGTGATGGTAAGTGACTACCGCCACCTATAATCACCCACAACACCAACGGTATTGCAGGTGTGCTACCGGCTTTTTAAAAAGGAATATGCTCAGTTCTTGAAAGTTACGATGTCATACATACATATAATACAGATACACAGTAAAAAGAGACAAAAGAATGAAAAACAAAAAAGCAAACAAAAAGCAAAATTTACCAGAGGGAGACTTTGTACAAAAGTCGATTGCTTGGGTACTTCTGTCCTATCCGTGTTTCAACCGTGAAGCAGTTGTGTTTGCATGACTGTGTTTCGGTTTGAAGGGTGAGATATGGCGTGAATTTACTGGGTACAGAGGAATAACACCTGAGTCCTCAGAAATGGCAACGCATGGGGGGTATCATGGGCGAAACAGTATACTCTGTTATTTCCATGGTACTGCTCATATCTATAGGCGACGGTTACCACTTTCAATCAGATGGGCCGTCAGCTTGTTTGCCATTCTAAGTTTTTTTTTACAACACAGGGGGTAAACGAGCATGCGGTTCACCTGATGGTAAGAGACTACCGCCGTCCATGATCACCCGAATGGAACAGAGGTACCCAAGCAAACGACTTTTGTACAAAGTCTCCCTCTGGTTTTTATGTTTGTTACCACATTACTCAATCAGTTGCATATTTATCCTATAGAAATTTTATCAAACTCGATTCAGTAGCTTAATTTTTAGATCAACATAACTAGTTTTTTTTCAGGATTATAGTAGTTTGGCTGGGATTCGACTTTGGTATCTTCAATCACATTGCCCTGGATTACTACACTACTTACTTTACCGCTGAATCTATTGGAGGGAATATTAAAAAGTATCTATCTATCTATCTGTTTGTCCAATAATCTTTGTAAATGGTCAATCCATTTGACTGTTTATAGAGTCTATTGCAGGGGTGGCCAACTTGACTAGACCCAAGATTTACTGTTTACTGACAAAACTTTATGTGATCTACCAAATGCATACTTGAAATCTCAAATGAAACGACATAGTTCATTACACAATTATGTAGTATTATAGTATTTTTTATTTTATTAAGAGGTAAAACATAAAGTTGAAAATTATTCTTAGTAACATTTACTTATTTATATTAATGCTCACACATTACATGTGGCGAATCTTTCGATAGATTAGAAAAATATTATATTTTTTGCCTTGCCACGATCGACTGGACTTATAGTCGCGATCGACCGGTTGGCCACTCCTGGTCTATTGATTAAGCTAATTTTTTTTAATGGATGATAATGGAATGGTAACCCCGCCTGCGCTATCGGTATACACCGGTGAGGCACCAGTGAGGGATAAGTGAAAATGAAAGAGCAGATCATAGCCCTGAATTCCAGGTGAATTTATCACGATGGTTTTTAGGTGCAGGGGGGCACGTGGAAGTCGACCTGTCAGGGTATATTGCTAGCAATCGTCGTCATGAACAGTACTGTACTAAATATGCATAACACACATACCTTAATTTGTCTTGGACTTTTTTGACCGCTTTGTCCGGTTCCAGGGCGATGTCCGGTACGGACGCGTCCACCATCAGCGAGAATAAATTGAGCATAAGGTTCGCATGCCTGCAATATAATGAATAACAACATGTATCACTTTGATTTGTTTTTATAAAATTAAACATTACACTAAAGGCAGAAACGATTTATGTGGTCCCGGCATAGAATAGGCCATCCCTTTCTTTCTCGTGGAAGTTGTAAGAGGCGACTGAGGGAGAGCGAGGAATGGGTAGCAGCGTTCCTTTTAAAACATATTGTTATGTGCCATAAAATGAATTTCCCTTAGCCTATTCCACTTTTCTTCAAGAATTTCTCCAAAATTTGCGAATAGAAAAGTTTTTACCTAAAATTGTGAAAAAAAAAAATACCCAATCTGGAAACACTGATTAGGTAAATTTTTTTTAAAATTCCTTAAAAGGCAAAACCGAGTTAACGTAATGTAATTGTGGAAGAATTAAAGTGTTAGTTTAATATTAGGTAACTATATCAATATGATTTTAAATCGTTGTTACCCTTACCTTCTTAAATGTAGGAAGGCCGTATAGCACTGTTTCCTGAACTCGTGGTAGTGTTCAGAGTGGATGCCGCCCATGGCCTCCACCATCTCCTTGCTGAGCTTCATAGGTGGTGGTAGAGGTTTTGGATCACGACCCAAAATGTACCCAAAGTCGATGTGGAACAGCGCACCGGATTTTGTCAGCAGCAAATTGTCGAGGTGGCGATCCCCGACACCTTGAATTTTAATTTTTTATGATGCTAAAAGTGACATACAATCTGACAACTTATAGACTTCACTTATAGACACAAGCAGCACAGGATGTACTGTAACGTCTACGATACCTTTCATGTATTGCCATTTTTGAGAACTGCTACTTTCGATTGCTTGGGTACCTCTATCCCATTCGTGTTTCAACCGTGAAGCAGTTGTTTGCATGGCTGTGTTTCGGTTTGAAGGGTGGGATATGGCGTGAATTTACTGGGTACGGAGGAATAACACCTGAGTCCTCAGGAATGGCAACGCATGGGGGTATCATGAGCTAAACAGTATACTCTGTTATGTGCATGGTACTGCTCATGTCTATAGGCGACGGTTACCACTTTCCATCAGGTGGGCCGTCTGCTTGTTTGCCATTCTAAGTTGTATTAAAAAAAAACCCCTGTAATTGCTATAATGCAAGTATATCTTCCCTTCCCGTGGGCGTCGTAAGAGGCGACTAAGAGAACTTAACGGTCGAGGGTTGAGCAGCGGTGCCCCTTTTAAAATATCACCAAAAGCCTAACTGTGGTTTCCAACACACATGTTAAGCGTGGCAACTACTAGTAAAACCTTTTATGGGGGAGGTCTATGTTCAACAGTGGACACTTAACGGTTGATGTGATGATGATGAAGTATAACTGCTGGCGACAGAAAATACTGATACACAATAAAAGACTGATACAGAAGTAGCCAACTTTTGTAAAAAAAAAACATACAAAACGGCATCTAATTTTTCTTCATTAAAAAAACTTAATAAAATCTTTTTTTTTTTTGTTTTATTGTACTAGGTATTATTTTGCGGAAGTTCACGCCACTAGTTTTTTTATTATTAACTGTCTAGACATAAGCCTTGCCCATAAGGGAAGTTTTGCCAGTCATTGACATGCAACTTATCACTTGTAATTAGAATTATTTTGTTTAATTTTACTACCATTATTAGTATACATGTTACTGGCAACACTCGAAGAATTACTACTATTATTAGCAGAAGTTGCTTACGTAGTATGGTAGCGGAACTAAAAAAAAATAAATCTAATCAACTAACTACTTATACATTCGTTTGCCACTTGTTTGAATTTGGAATACATTTAGTTATTAAAAAAAAAAAAAAAAAACTTACCAAGTAAATACGTAATGACGCAGTAACCTGCACAGCTTCGTATATACGTGTCCATAGTTTCCGGCTTGATGCCGTAGGGGGCGCCCTCGCACGGGTTGTGCTTCCTGAAGAAGTTCTGTATGCTACCCTCAGTGGCCAGCGCTTCGGCCACCGTCACCGACTCCACAAACTGTAGGAAGCCGTGTTTCGAACTGGTCGCTAACACTTTGTACGGAGTTAGTTTCAAATCTAAATTCTCCCGTCTCAACAACTTATCCATTAGCGTGATCATTTGAAGTATTAATTGATCTTGGCGTAGATCGTCGCCATGTTTAAATATGGCCTCGTACTCCATCCCTTCAGTGGTCAGAAACGTTAGTTTTGACGGCATCAGGGCTGATTTGAAGAGGCTGGCCTTCTTGGCGACAATGCCTTTGATGGTCACGTTGGGGTCGAGAGGGAACGGCATGGGTTCGAAGTTCGTGAAGTTAAATTTGAAGGCGTCAGGGTCGGCTAGCAACTGCTGGAGGCGTTCGGCCTTCTTGTTCCTGTTGCCGCTCTCTCTGGTGACCGTTTTCACTAATTTCACCAGCTTGTCTATGAACAGTTGTTGGCGGGCGAGAAATGACCGTGTCCGTTGGTGGTCTGCGTTGCCTAGACAGGAAATAAAAGAAAAATATTCACACAATTGTATAATCATATATACATATTTTATATATTTTGCTAGAATAGGCCATCTCGTCCTTTCTCATGGACGTTGTAAGGGGGACTAAGGGAACTTAATGGTCGAGGGATGGGCAGCAACATCCCTCTTAGAACATCATTAAAGTCTAACTGCAGTTGCCAAACCGCCTGCCAAGCATGGCAACTACTGGCAAAATTTCTCTTTTTGGGAAAAATAAGTTCAGCAGTGGACAGTAGACGGCTGATATGATGACGATGATTTGGTACAATTAGCAATGTTAGCATGTATTTATGTATGACTGTTTTTTTTTTGTAAAGGGGTTTTTATTCTCTCTTACTCTCCATTACTAACAATCCCTTTCCCACCCCTTTGTTATGTAATTGAGTTTAATGGTCTAATTGCTCGCAATATAGTTATCTATCTCCTGGAAACCATAATGGCGAATTCCTGGAAAATTTAATATGATGGGCTAAATGACTTAATTTAATTTTGATTGTTTCATCCATAGCATTGCATTTATATCCATTTATATTTATATCCATTTTTATCCAAAAAACCAATGGCGAGGGTTGGTATACGGTTTGAATTCAACATTTTCATGCAGTGGTATATTGTGCTTCTTTATTATATATAAGTATGTATATTGTTCCTTAGTCGCATCTTACGACATATTGGAGATGAAAGGAAATATATAGGTTGCCTATTGTATTACCACGTATAGGAATTACCAGAGAGCATAGGAAATAATCAGACGTCAGACTCTTAAACAATATACCGATATAAGAGATTACAGTAACAACTTGTTTTTATAGTTAATAGTTTTCCTAGAAAAAGTATAAACGAATCTATTGATAGAGTTATTACTGCTAGCGAGCTTATGATTTTGTTTTTATACAGCTTAGAATGGCAAACAAGCTGACGGTCCACTTGATGGAAAGTGGTAACCGTCGCCTACAGACATGAGCAGTACCATGGACATAACTGAGTATACTATTTCGCCCATGATACCCCCCATGCGTTGCCATTCCTGAGGACTCAGGTGTTATTCCTTTGTACCCTGTAAATTCACGCCATATCCCACCTTCTCAGAAAGAGTCAGAATGAGATGGCGACAATTGCTATCTTGCTCTTACTTGTGTAAACGTTGACCGAAACCATTCTATCGATAGATCCGTTAGTACCTTGTATAGAGAAGCAGGTGGAAAATAAGGATTACTTTTGTTTAATTGTTAGTACAGTAATGAGGCTCACCCTTGGCGAGGCGCTGCGAGAAGGTGCGCATGACGGTGAGGTACATGTGGCGGGCGGCGGCGGGCGGCCCGTCGCGGTCCTCGCACTCCACCAGCAGGTACCAGTACAGGTAGTTGGCCACCACGCTGTTGCCGCACGCGCGCTCCATCAGGAACGTCGCCAGCGTCTGCCGCTCCTCCGCCTCCTCCGCCGACTCGCTGCCACCCATCGAGCACACATTTCAGAAATAAATAAAGGCACGCACGCACGCACGCACGCACGCACGCACGCAAGCACGCTGCTACAAGACACTACATTGTTTATCTTTTAGGGTGTAAACATTTTAGTTAGGAGTTAGTAAATAAAAGACTTACCCGTACTCTTGCTGCTCGGTGATGGTGCTGGTGTCTCCATCCCCCGCGGGCGTGTCCCCCCCCGCGGCGGCGGAGTCGCCCGTGCCGCGGCGGCTGCTCGTCGAGATGGACATCTCACTGGACGTCATCACTACATAAGGTAATACAAATACATAATGAAATACAAATTACTTGCATACTTTCAAGACAGTGTTCCATCAGTGACTGAACTTGACTTTTTCTAAAAAAAAAAAAACATGGGTTAATAATAAATCCCGTGTGATCCCGACATAGAATAGGCCATCTTTCCCGTGGGTATCGTAAGAGGAGACTAAGGATGGCCGAGGGATGGGCAGCAGTCTCGCATAAAACATCTACAAAGCCTAACTGCGGTTACCAATCCGCCTGCCAAGCGTGGCAACTGGCTTAACCCCCCAAGGGGGGTTATTTGAGCCATTTATGACACACGTAAATTACCAAATGAGTTCATACAATCAAATCAATTACACATTTTTAAATACAAGTTCAGGTTAGTAAGTGTTTTGTTATTTTTCGATCTATGTTTTTTTTTAAGTTCAGTTTCACTGGCAGAATACTCCCTCAAATGTATGATTATGATTGCTTATGATTTCCACTACACTGTTTATTTTGACAGCTATAGTCTACGTGCAAATGGATGATTTGTTTGGGATTTGGATAGAAGAAGGATAAGAGTAGTAGAAGAAGAAAAGTTTACAAACAAGAAATAAAATAACATGCACACACAAAAATTACGAAAATAATATCATTTATTCACACAGGACACTTTTGTCTTTTATTTTTCTTCCGTTAAGAACACTTTTTAACTTCACAGTTTTTTACCGACTTCAAAGAAAAGGAAGTGGTTCTATGTTCGACTGTATATTTTTTATGTATGTATGTCTACAGATTTTCTTCCTTTTTATTTTAAACAAATCTGTTAATAAAATATTTGTTATACATACATGTTTTTGTTCGTAATTTTAGAGCAGTGTTTCCCAACTTTTTTTGTATCATGCCCCACTTGAACATTTCTAAAATTTTTATGCACCCATACATAATTTTTCCCGACAAAGTTTACTTGACGACTCTAATCGCCCAGTTGATATTTTGGTAACGTCAAACGAAATTATACCTAATAAATATTTACAGCATTTTTTTTTATTTACTTTTTTTTGTTAAATTTGGCACCGATATCTACTTGTAGCATTGCATTTAAATGGCTCGGAGTAAGAGAGTTAAAATCGTTTCGAGTCCATTTTTTAATTGTTCCCCTTAACTATCAAATTGCCCCCCTTGGTGCCCCAGGAGCGTGGGCCCCACGTGGGGAAACACTGGTTTAGAGAGCAACATGAGAATAAATGTAGTGACGAGAAAAACAACTAGCCTGTAATATGATATTTTTGAGGCCATCGACAATTTTGGATAGAGGTAAATATTATTTTATTATTTACTAGCTATTGCTCGCGACTTTGACCGTGATTTATCCGTATTATGATAACGATTAATATTATTATGTTGATAAAACTCTTTGGCAAATAATTGGCAATAATGCATTAATTTCTACCAAATTTTGATTACCATAAAAATGTTATAATGAGTTAATCTTAAGAGACAGTTCATGCTGTGGTTGCCTATAAATGTAAGAACAGTTAGATTTAATCTACCAGTGTATTGTACTAAAATGTTTAGCTGTATCTTATGTTGGTAATCCTATAAATAAATAAGACAGACACATACTGTCGAGGACATTTTTTTAGATCATTTAAAGTGCAATAATTCTTTCATACATATTTTTTGGGTAACTTGAACCGTTTACGCAGCGCACGCATCGGAAGCCCTCAAATATGAATAATTTCCCCCCTTTTTGCAACATTTTTCACCGATGCTTCATTCCCATTGGTCGCAACGTGATGTTATATAGCCTAAAGCCTTACTCGATAAATGGAATATCCCACACAAAAAGAATTTTTCAATTCGAACCAGTAGTTCCTGAGATTAACGCGTTCAAATAAACAAACTCTTTTAGCTTTATAATATTAGTATAGATTTATTTAAAACAATAATAAATTGTGTTGAATAACCATGCATTATAAAATTTTTGAAAATTACATACTCGTATCTATAAAAAAAAAGAACTATAAATTCAAGGTAAGAGCTATTCAAAGACAAAATTTATAAAATAAAAATACAAAGAAATAAAAAAAAAAGGTAGGCAAATGAGTTGTAACTCGCTTCCATTAATAAAACTCGGATAGGTTGCCATAGTTACCATAGCGATAAGTGGTAAAACAACGTTTACGGGGTTAGCCTTGACCTTGAAAATTGGGACGTGGAATTTGAAAATGGAAGAGATTTAAGCGTTAGTGTCCGTTAATAGATTAGTGCAAAACAAAGTTGTAAATAAGTTAGGCTACTCCATTTTGATCTGCCAAGTTTTCAGGTTAACTCGAGGAATGGGATATGATGGAATTTACGTATTGAGTTTTATTTTAAACAAATCAGATATAGTATAATTAAACGTGTAGAAAAAATAACATAATAATAATAACTACCTAGTATAAAACAAAGTCGCTTCCTGTCTGTCTGTCCCTATATACACTTACATCTTTAAAACCACGCATCGGATTTTGATGCGGTTTTTTTAATAGAGTGATTCAAGAGGAATGTTTATATGTATAATACATGCATAATATAGTAGAGGAACACTGATAATTTTAGAGGTTTCTAATGTGATGAGATGTAATGTGCATTCGTGCGAAGCCGGGGCGGGTCGCTAGTTTTATTATATTCAGTGTTTAAATGTATTTTTTTTAATATTACTAATATGACGGTACATTTAGCATGGAAAAGGATGCCTTTTTTATCTTAACCAAATGAACGTAGTCACGTGTAAAAACTAGTATAGTAAATAATTAAATAAAATTACAGTTAGTGTGAAATAAGTTACTAAGTAAAATATTTTAGAAGGGTTATTTTTTATGATATTTAGTATGGCAAACAAGCTGAAGGCCCACCTGATGGAAAACGGCAACCGTCGCTTATAGACATGAACAATACCGTGGGCGTCACAGAACACACTGTGATGTCCGTGGTACTGCTCATGCATTATAGTTTTAATGTAATAATAACAGGTTTAACTTACGTGTGATTCGATCGAAAAAGCTCGACTAGTTTCGGGACCAATTCGGGATCCTTATTTATAAGCGGCTGTGACGAGACCGCAAGCTAACTGCGCGCTTCGGCACTAAGCGTGAGCTGTACTGTACAATAACAGGGCTGAAGAAAAGAAAGACTACAAAGCTCAGCCGTTCATACCCGAAGATTTCCGAATGCCGTCTTTCTAGGGGGAAGGGATTTTTAGTAATGGAAAAGTTAGACCCCATTGCTATCAATATATTCTATCAGGTCGACCTCAACGCGGTTCCCCCTGGAAACTATCGTAACTAGTTTATCGTTGAATTCGTCACGATAGTCTAACTGACCTGCCTTTTCATTCTCACCTATCACTTCTCACTGGTGCTCCGCCAGTGTATACCGATAGCGCAGGAGGGGTTATCATTCCATTATCACCCATTAAAAAAAACATCGTGCTAAATTCCAGGTGTACTCATCACGATGGGCTAACTGACTTTGATGGGCTTTTTCATCCTTACTTATCAACACTCACTGGTACTCCGCCAGTATATATCGATAGCGTAGCGGGGTTACTATGCCATTTTCACCCATTAAAAAAACACCGTCTTTCTTATGTGATGGTGCCGCGAACGTCTACAGCTCACGCTTAGCGAGCCGAGGTGCGTAGTCAGTCTCGTGGTCTCGTCACAGCTACTCAAGATTAAGGGTCCTGAATTGGTCCCGAAACTAATCGAGCTTTCTTTATCTAATTACGTATCAGTGAAACCGATATTTATTACATTAAAATATAATTTGTACTTAAGAAACTTTGAACAGTAAAATGCTTATGGATTGCCATTCCTGCGGTCAGTCTGTTTCTGTCCCAGTAATTGTAAGTGCCCCATCTATACGTTGCAGATCTATGTTACGTATAAGGACCCGATACAACACACTGGGCTGGCTAGTACCTGAGACGGAGAGCAGGCTGGCCTGGCTGCCGCGGCGGCCGCTGTGCATTAGCTTGCCCTCCGAATCCGAGTACGTCGGCGCGTCCTTCCCGCATATCCTCGTGTACTCTACGGTACGGCAACTTGGTATTACATTATGCACTTTATAATAGTACATGTAAAGTCTCTTTTCCCTTTTTTGTTGCTGCACTTGTATGGATTGAACATTTGCTTCGAATCGTCTATAGGTAATCGTCGTCTATAGACATGAAATATACTGAGTACCGAAAAAAACTGAATCAGCCACATCTGTCACGTGTCACCATACATACATACAAACTTACGACCTGCCTGACGCGGGTACAATAACTGTTGCATCACAAGACACGTGTGTACCAATATTATTACTGTTCGTGTGAAGGTGGCGCCATCTAGTAATATGAGGTACTAAGTTACATTAGGTTACTGGACGATGGTTTTGGATATCTTCTGTAAGTGGTAATCATTGTTAAATGATTCAAATATATATAATTTTGCACCATAAAGGTGACAAACAAGCATACAGCCCGCCTGATGGTAAACGGTCACTGTAGCCTATGGACGCCTTGCAGCATGGGGTTTCACGTGCGCTTTGCAGACATTTTAAAACATCTCTGCTGCTAGCTATTTGATTTTGAGATTTCCAAAACGCAGCCTAGAATGAATTGTCAACACACATTTGAATGAATTTCATGCTGTGTTTCTATTGTCAAAAAACCTCGGTTATAAAAAAAACCCTACACAAAAACTAAAACCTTCTACAAACCAATTTTAGATATTGTTGTTTGGCGCTTAATATAAATCAGTGTTTTTCAAATTGTGGGTCGCGACACCTTGGGGGGTCCCCGAGCCTCAACAAGGGGGTCGCAGAAAAATCAACAGTTCCGTATATACATCAATCAATCAATAATACATAATGTAGTATCTATAACAGACATCAATTACATGTCTGGTTTACATACTTTATTATGTATTATTTATTTTATTTTATCGACACCTAACTGTGAATATAAATACAACTGTACGGATTTCATAATTGTACTATAATAAAATTCATACAGATTCGGAACCGTGGAGGGTAAGTAGGGGGTCGCAAGATATTTTTACATACTAAGGGGTCGCGCCATGAAAAACATTAAAAAAACACCGATATACCATAAATAGCAAAAAACAGTTGTAATGAGAGATTTGACGTTTTTGTGAATAATCAAAATAATTACATACAGGCAATATATACGATTATTTTGGAGGAAATTTAAAACCTGAGATGACTCCCAGATTCCACCAAAATTTATTCGCTTATGCAGATCTACTTACCTATCCTGTGACGGGAACAAATAAAACAATATGTCTACATACCACCATGTATCTCCAATAAGTCCTCATACTTCAAAGCTTGCACCAGTTGCAACAAATAGAGAAGTAAGTCCTCGTCGGGGGCTTGTTTTAAACGTGATATTGCGTACCTTGAAATATAAAACATACCTTATATATATTATCTCATTATTCGTACAAAAAGCTTAACTGATAAACTTGCTACTAAACTGTATTTAGTCTTTTGAGGAAAATACTTTTTTTTTTATTGGATGAAAATGGAATGGTAATCCCGCCTGCGCTAACGGGATACGCTGGCGGGGCACCAGTGAATGGTGATCGATGAGGATGAAAACAGGCCAGTTAGCCCATCACAATGAATTCATCTGGAATTAATCATGATAGTTTCCAGGGGGAATCGCGAGGAGGTCGACGTGGTTGGGTATATTGCTAGCAATAGGATTCTCAGTCTCCATTACTAACAATCCCTTTACCCCCGAGGAAAATACTTGATACATAATAGTATTCCAAAAAACGAATTCAAATGTGGCAAAACTGAACTAATTTTGATAAAATTTCTATAGGATCAATGATGTAAGAATATCATTTCAGTAAAAAAAAAAATTTCAAATTGGTTTATAACTGACGGAGTTATGAGAAAACAAATAAAAAAAAAATAGAACAAAATCGTGAATCTCCATATTTTTGAAGTCGGTTGAAAAGAAGGAATAAGGGTTAGTAGTGTGGAACTAATAGCTACATAGCTAGCTATCAGGTCGACATCTAAACAGTCCTCCCAGAAAACCAGTACCCAGAAAGCGCAATCGATGATTCACGAATAAATCCGAGCGCAAAGACTATCTTACTGCGATTTCATATAGTGCTACTTAATGACATATGATTTTTCCAATCATGCCATTCTACACGCTACCTGTAAGATATTCCAAGCCTATTGGCCATTCAAACATCATAATGAGCTTACTTCCTAACAGCCGGGTGCGTGAATTTGGGTGTGAGCAGTTCTAGTGCATCCTCGACATCCATGGGCGCCCACTGCTTCATCATGGACAATGCCTGCCGCACCTCGCCTGCAAGCAATATGAGCTTTAATTATTTAAGATTATTAGGGAACGCCTCAAATTACTGATATACCAAATAAAAAACATCTCGTCATAGTCGTAGAATACTGACAGATCTGACGAAGATTACATATAAAGATCCGTCAGTATTCTACCACTGTGACGAGATGTTTTTTATTTGGTCCCCCTTCTACCCCCTTTCAGGAGACGTCGCGTCGCCTTGCAAGCTCACTGTAGGTGATTTCACTGCGAGATCCCCATTTTTTCCTTACATGAGATCTATCCGTGAGATTTTAAATAAAGAAATTTATTTGAGATATGACGTATTCTGCTTTGTTTTACCAAATACATTTTAATACATTTTTTATACAACTTACAAAGGCAAAAATCTACATTTTAATATTAATATTTTTATGCACAAAATTAGTAATAAGGTATTTTTTTTAAAGACGATTTTCATGAATTAATAACCTATTGCACATACTATGATAATTACATGTTGATTGTTAGGTAATATGATATACTCTTAATGTACCCTTCATTGAAATTTAAACAAATTATTATGAAAAATGTAATAAATATATCGCTATATATACCTGGCCGGTTCCAATTGACGCACTCCAGAAACTTGGTGAGGGCCCGCCGGTGCGACGATAAGTAGAACCTGGAAAATTATTTATATACTTCAGAACAACAAATGAACTTACTAAAAACAAGGTCGTTCAAGTTTAGAAAAAACATTAAGGAGTATTACAGTAATGTAAAAGAGAGGAAAGAAAGCCTAGTAGGTATCATACGTCCTAGTGATCGATTGTTCAATGGCAGAGACAGCAAAAAAGCATCATTACCATCATATCAGCCTTTAACTGTCCCTTTCTGAACATAAGCTTCCCTCTATAGGGATTTGCCAGTAGTTGCCACGCTTGGCAGGCGGATTGGCAACCGCAGTTAGGCTTTAAAGATGTTTTAGGAGGGATGCTGCTGCCCATCCCTCGTCCACTTTAGTCGCCTCTTCCGACACCTACGGAAAAGGAAGGGGTGGCCTATTTTACGCCGGGACCACATGTTAAAAAAATATAACATGTAATTTTTTTTTATACAACTTAGAATGGCAAACAAGCTGACGGCCCTCCTGATGGAAAGTGGTAACCGTCGCCTATAGACATGAGCAGTACCGTAAACATAACAGAGTATACTGTTTCACCTATGATACCCCCCATGCGTTGCCATTCTTGAGGACCCAGGTGTTATTCCTCTGTACCCTGTAAATTCACTGCCATATCCCACCCTTCAAACCGAAACAGCCATGCAAACACAACTGCTTCACAGTAGAAACACGAATAGGACAGAGGTGGCCAAGCAAACGACTTTTGTACAAAGTCTCCCTCTGGTAGATTCTGTTATAGTACCTGAACTTCCAGATGAGGTCCTGGTGCGCGGCGGGCCGCGAGGGCGCGGGCGGGCCGGCTACGAGCGCGGCGAGCTGGTCGCGCTGCGCGGCGGTGGGCTTGGCGTCGCGCCCCCACACGCCCCAGCGCAGCGACCGCGCCAGCCGGTGCTGCTTGCTCTCCACCAGGTTCTCCTGCGCGCAATCAGTCATTACAGTTCAAATAAACATTCCAATCATTACATTTACTTATTTTTCTCAAACATGCTTTGAAAATGTGAGCATTATTTTGACAATCTTCTTAGAGATAAATTGTTCGCGACATTATTTGTATATATCGTAATTTATAGTTGTTAAGACCTAGTTAATCGTTTCTGTATTCTGTTATTTTATATAGATTTGCATAGATTTAAGATAGTGTAAGTTAAATAAAGTATTCCTTTGTGTGTTGTCATTATTACCTACGAATAGAAATAAAAATTGTAACAATAAATAGAATTAAGAAATTGTAAATTGCAATAAATAGACGCTATAGAGTACCGATCTGAAGAGACACGCGTCTCGTTCATTCTCGCCCCGTCCCGCTCGCACAGATCGCTAACGCGAGTTGGAAATGTTATCGTGCGAGCGGGCGGGTATAAAGATAGGCCGCCTCTCGTCGAGCGGCATTCGCTTCCGGGCAGCGACGCACTACACTCGAGAAGAAATAGGACAAGAAGAAAAATACTCTCTTCAGACGGTACCGGAGGCTTCAGAATAGTAATCGCTGTGTTTCACTCCAGCCTGAACCAACGCCCCTACAGTCCACGCTCACCGAACGGCAGTCCACACCGTTCATCGTGGTCCTTCGAGAAGCCGGATTGCTGGAGGAACACCGTTGGTACATCGAGAAGCCGGATCGCTGGAGGAAGACCATTCTGAAGCCGGATCGCTGAAATGCCGACTACGAGAAACATGAAGTCGTCGCAACAAAAAATCGCCGTCACCGAAGCCACAACGTCCGCCGCCACCACGTCGACTACGGCCGCCGGAACGCTGTCCGTCGCTGCCACGCCGTCCGTTGCTGCCACCACGTCGTCTGCGGCTGTCAGAATGCCTTCTGTCGCTGCCACGTCGTCTACCGCCGCCACCACATCGACTACGAACACGTCCGGCGATACGACGACCACAGGAGCCACGGAGACTACCGAAGCCACAGGAACGACAGAGGAGACAGCAAGGAAGAAGGAACCGAAGCACGGCACGGCACGCACGGTTCGCACCACGGCCTCGCAGAAGAAGAAGGCTCTGGCCAAGGCGCGGGAGGAGCTACTTCGAAAGGAGGTGGAATTGGCCGCCGCACGTGTCGCCGCCCTGGAAGCCGAATCAGAGGACGACGAGGAAGTAGAAGACGACGACGCTACCGTCAGAAGAGAACGAACGTCGGATTGGGTTCATCGAAGCACGCTAGCACTCACGATGGAGCCGCATGTACCAGAGATAGAAGAAGTCACCGGCAAGCGTCAGGGGTTCGTCCCATCGAGACCCGTTGAAGAGGATTCGAGAGCGCCGCCGCCACAGCCGAGCAGCGACGCACTTCACCGGGACCACGCACGCCACGTTGACCCACATGCCGCCATGCCTACGATAGCAGCAGCGATGCAGTCGATGAAGAAGGAAGAACCGGTGCTGAAAGTGGGCATCGATTGTAATGAGTTTGCGATCGCCATGCAGATGGCCGCTCGCAACATACTGCCCTCCACAGCGTCAAGAGTCACCGAGTTGCCAGTCTTCAATGGATCGTCGAGCGAGTGGTTACCATGGAAGATGGCCTATGAAGAGAGCGCAAGTCAACTCACAGAACAAGAGAACCTAGCAAGACTGCGCAGAAGCTTGAAGGGGGCCGCAAAGGACGCGGCACGCTCCCTATTCGTCGGGTCTACGACCGCAGAAGAAGTAATGAAGATGTTAGCCGCGAGGTTCGGCCGCCCTGGAGCACTCGTCACAGCCGAACTGAACAAACTCCGCGCGCTACCACGACTCTCGGACAACGCAAGAGACGTCTGCCTCTTCGCAAGCAAGGTGCAGAACGTCGTCGCCACGATACGAGCGCTGAACAAGAGTCACTACCTCTACAACGAAGAAATAGTGAGAAACGTCACAGAGAAGATGCCGTCGGTACTACGCTTCAAGTACTACGATTTCGCCAACGACCAACCGGAGGGACAACCGGACCTCATAACACTCTCTCAGTTCCTGCAAAGGACCGCCGCACGATGTGGAAACTTCGCCCCCGCCGAGGAGATACCGTCCGAAGACCGGCGGGAGTCCGCTCCTAGGAAGACGGCGAAGACATACACGACGCAGGAGAAACCCGCTACACCACCGTGCCCGATGTGTCGACGAGAGGGACACGCTCCATCGGACTGCAAGACGATGAAGGAAGCGGACACATCGGCGAGATGGGAGCTAGCGAAGACTCATAGGCTGTGTTTCCGCTGCCTCAAAGTAAGAAGATTTCGCCACGCCTGCAAGAGCAAGAGATGTGGAGTGGATGAGTGCACGCAGACTCATCACCCTCTGCTGCACACCACGCGACAACAGCCGGAGAATGAAGTAACAACACACGTCGTCGAGGACAAGTCCGCCGCAGTCACCGCATCGGCAAGGGAAAACGACAAGATCGCGTTCCTGAAGATCCTGCCGATACGAGTCACCGGTCCCACGGGAACGTGCGACACCTACGCGCTACTGGACGACGGGTCGACTTGCACCATCATCGAGACGACGGTGGCGGAGCGAATCGGTGCTACGGGTCCCCCGCACCATTCTACATGGAAGGTGTGGCCGGGGCACGGATCAACGCAGCTCAATCGACGCGTGTTCACTTCAAGATCCGCGGGCGGAATTCACAAGAATACACAGTGGGGGCACGGACGATGGACAGACTGCAGTTATCACCGCAGTCGGTACCGCGCAGCGTCATCAAGGGCTGTCCACATCTACGAGACATAGAGAGGGAATTGGTCTATGAAGAGGGCAAACCGACGGTACTGTTGGGGCAAGACAACTGGCACCTACTGCTGGCCCACGAAGTCAGAAGAGGATCCGACACGCAGCCGGTCGCATCACTCACCGACCTGGGATGGGTACTGCACGGTACGAGTCGCGGCAGGACAAGACAGCAGGTGCACAGAATCAGCCACATAGTGACGACACATGAAGAGGAACAATCGATGGAAGAAATGATGAAGCAACATTTCGCGCTCGAATCGCTGGGAATCGCACCGAAGAGGTCTTACAATGAAGAAGAACGTCGCGCCCTGCGCATTTTAGAAGAGAAAACTCGTCCGTTACCGGCGGGAGGATACGAGACGGGGTTATTATGGAAGAAGGACGACCCTGTGCCGCCGGACAACTACGAATCGGCAATGCGACGTCTCCGACCGGTCGAAAGGAATTTCGACAAAAACGAAGAACAGTGGCCGCGTGAAGATAGTACGAGCGACGATAGTCAAGCGGAAACGGGAGAAGAACGCGTACACAAGCTACAGAACGCGACGCAGTTGTCTATAGCATTACCCGATCCGTCACGTTTTTCTAATTGGTTGAAACTTGTTCGCAGTTCAGCACGAGTGTTGCAGTTCATCGACCTCCTGCGACCGACCAGTCAACGCTGTACCGCTATCCGAAAGAGAAACAAGAAGAAAGAGAGCGCCGACCCCACTTGGACCCGCACGAAGAAAGTCGATAGAGAGAAGACGAAGATGAAAATCAAGAACAGCAATAGTCCATCTGTGTGTTTCATCCCCATAGACACACACTACCTCGATCGCGCGCGACGGCTATGGATTCGCGCGATACAACAAGAGGCGTTCGGCGACGAAATCGCAGTATTGAAACAAGGGAAACAGCTGCCGTCATCCAGTCGACTCATACAGCTGTCAGTCGTCATAGACAACGACGACATTCTGCGACTTCGATCGAGAATAGCAGCCGCCGCCGATCTGTCAGCCGAGCAACGAGAACCCCCATCGTCGACGGAAACCACGCCTGGGTGCGCCTATACATCGCATGGGTGCATCGGAAACTTCACCACGGCGGCTTCGAGATCACCACGAACGAGGTGCGACAACACTTGTGGGTGTTGCGCCTACGACACGCCGTCCGCAGTGAACTGAAGAGGTGTCAGCTGTGCCGCCTACGAAGAGCAAGACCGGCGCAGCCGTCAACGGGCAACCATCCACAGAGCAGGCTGGCGCATCATCAACGACCGTTCACGTTCACCGGCCTAGACTACTTCGGGCCTATGACCGTGACAGTGGGCCGCACTCACCAGAAACGATACGGAGTGCTCTTCACCTGCCTAACGACGCGCGCAGTCCACCTAGAAATCGCCGGCAGCCTCAGCACGGACTCCGCCATAATGGCCCTGCGGCGCTTCATAAGCCGCAGAGGGTGTCCCACGGAATTATGGTCCGACCAAGGCACCAACCTCAAAGGTGCTGACGTCGAACTGAAGAAAGCAGCCGAGGAAGCCATCCAAGAAGAGTCATCAGTCCATTTCATCCGGTGGCGCTACATTCCCCCGAGCGCACCCTTCATGGGAGGTGCGTGGGAACGGTTGGTGCGTAGCGTGAAGACCGCACTAGCCGCCACGTTGAACGAACGGGCGCCCAAGGAAGAGGTCCTCCACACTCTACTGGTCGAAGTCGAGCACACCCTCAACAGCCGACCGCTAACCCACGTGTCGACATCGGCAGACGACGACAGCGCCCTAACCCCCAATCACTTCATATTGGGCGGTCCGTCGCGCGTCCCACTGCCAGGCAGCTTCACCGAGAGCGACGCGGCGGGACACAAGGAGTGGCGTGCCAGCCAGAGGCTAGCTGACTGCTTCTGGAACCGGTGGGTGAAGGAGTACCTACCCGAGTTGCAACACCGGCGGGAGCCCCGAGCTACACACGGAGCCATCAAAATGGACGACCTGGTCCTAATAGCTGATGGGACCTTGCCTCGCAACACGTGGCCGCGAGGCGTGGTGGTGGCAACCTACCCTGGACCAGACGGCGAGATCCGAGCAGTCGACGTGCGGACGAACAAGGGCATCCTACGGCGACCCACTAAGAAGCTGATCATACTGCCCACATCGACATCGAGCGACGCGAACACGAGTTAACTCCAGCTACGAGAGCTGCGGCGGGAGATTATGTTCGCGACATTATTTGTATATATCGTAATTTATAGTTGTTAAGACCTAGTTAATCGTTTCTGTATTCTGTTATTTTATATAGATTTGCATAGATTTAAGATAGTGTAAGTTAAATAAAGTATTCCTTTGTGTGTTGTCATTATTACCTACGAATAGAAATAAAAATTGTAACAATAAATAGAATTAAGAAATTGTAAATTGCAATAAATAGACGCTATAGAGTACCGATCTGAAGAGACACGCGTCTCGTTCATTCTCGCCCCGTCCCGCTCGCACAGATCGCTAACGCGAGTTGGAAATGTTATCGTGCGAGCGGGCGGGTATAAAGATAGGCCGCCTCTCGTCGAGCGGCATTCGCTTCCGGGCAGCGACGCACTACACTCGAGAAGAAATAGGACAAGAAGAAAAAATACTCTCTTCAGACGGTACCGGAGGCTTCAGAATAGTAATCGCTGTGTTTCACTCCAGCCTGAACCAACGCCCCTACAGTCCACGCTCACCGAACGGCAGTCCACACCGCACATAAATCAAAATTGCCGTACTGGCCAGGTACGTGCGGGCAGCGGCCGGCAAAAGTTGTACGAAAATCCATATCTGTCGTGTTTTGCGGCCAGATAAATTACTATGTAAACTCATATCTGTCCTGTAATGGAAAAATGGAATGACCTTTTACTTCGAAACATGGCTACCAATGAGGTAACTAATAAAAGGTTTGCAAATAGAAAGCTGTTTATTGAAAAAAATAAATACATAAAGGAACATTATGGCGCGTGAAAAATTATTATTGTTCGTTATTCGTCATTGAACTTAAAAAGTAAAATTGCGTTTTTTATTTCCGCGCATTGTTTACACTACATTACACTGTTTGTAAACTACTATACAAGCCTTGGCCACAACTAGGCATTGATGGACTCACGTATATGTGCCTCGGCTACGCCTCGGCCCACATTTGCACGTTCATCCATCAATACCTCAGTTGCTGGCCGCTGCAGTAATGTACTATATATATATATATATAATTAGACAGGTACTTTATTTGTTCCGAGTAGTTAATAACAAAGAACTTATTTCCCAAGTAAACACTACCTAACAGCAGCGCCCCGGAGCGAAAGGGATTGTTAGTAATGGAATCTAACAGTTCCATTACTTAATTAATTTTGGCAGCATTTTACGAGGTTTGTCCGGAAAGTACGTATAAAAGTTTTTTAAAAATTTTATTTTACAATTATTCAGGTAAATCAATTTTAAACCAAACTAAAACAAACAAATATATTAAACCTTACCTGTAATATCTCGTAGTCTGGAACAGTCACGATCTCAGCCTGTGCTCTGAATTGGTACACCTCGTCACCATCTTGCTCGTAGTATACCACAGCGTGCTAAGAAATAAAGAAGTAATAATTTAACAGTTATGGTTGCATAGATTCATTTTCCAATTTCATCGAAATAAGGGCAGTGCCGACTCTTAGATTACACAATAATTGTTTTATGCAAAAATTTCAGAAAAGAATAGATGAAATGCATAATTGACATAATGTATTGCTCATTGTATTTATGACATTGCTAATGCGTTAGAGAGGGATAGACATATAAAAACGAATCTGCCTTTTGACTAGTCCGTACAAGTGAAATTTATCAAGATATGTCACTTGGTTTTATTGGCCGTATAACCCTACCAAATTTAGATACAACCTGCTTGCATACTTCCTACATAAACTGTGTCGAATATATAATCTAGTAATGTAAAATTTGTTATTGACAAATAATTGATATATCAATACGAACAAAAATTTTACATACACATTTTCTATACACTAGCCTGTTATGAATTGAGAAAAATAGCAACTGATGGTGTATCTTTCGTCCTCTTTTTACTAATTATATTTGCATAAGAAGAAAGGAGGCAACCATATGATTTCCAGTTTTTATTTTATCATTCCTTCTATGTAATTCTTTGTTCTTAGGTTTTATGAAAGTAAGTACTTACATCTATGCCGTCAATCTGCACTGTGGGGAACTCGATCATGAGGTACATGTAGTCGGAACTCCTTTTCTCCTTCTCGTTGATCATTTCGATCTCTCTAAATGTTAATCTGTCCAGCCAGTCAACCTGTATCAATAATAACTTGTGAGGGTACAATGATACTCAAATTTTCCATAACTCCGCAGGGTAAAAAAAAGGCTGATGACCGGTAATGCGAGCGGCATATGGTGCTTATAAAAGCTACTGTAATTTGAGCGATGGTAGGTAAAAATGAATGCAGTTCAGTTAGCCCATCGTGACTAGTGATTACTGCAGTTTCCAGGGGAAACTGCGTGAAGGTTGACTTGAAAGTTACAGCCAGTCCGTAATAGGCAGAGAATTCATATATCATACTCCAATATTATAAAATTATTATACAATATCCTTAACTCAAATAAAATTAAAAAAAAAAAAAAACTTATAACAAAACTTAGTAACTGGAAGAGAATGCTATATAGTATTAAGTCCGTCTTTTGTACCAGACATTTTTTTTTTGTAATGTGGTCAATAAAGAATAAATAAACCGCAAGTTCACTATTACTAATAAGCTTCGAGGGGGGGGGGGGGGAGAGGAAAGAGATTGATAGTAATGGGGTCTAACCGACCCATTGCCAGCAATATAGGGTATATATCAGGGCGACCTCCACATGGTTCTCCCTGGAAACCATCGTGGTTACTTCTCATGGAATTCTTCACAATCGGTTAACTAATCTGCTTTCATCGTCATCTGTTATCCCTTACTGGTGCCCCGCCAGTGTATACCGATAGCGCAGGCGGGGTTACCATTCCATTATCACCCATTAAAAAAAAAAAGAAAATTTGCTCCGAGCATTTAGGGAAACGGTATTGACTAGTACAAAAAATACCAGGCAGAGAGTCTAGAACAACATGGTAACTTCATACCTTAGGCATATGTCCGTTGCGATGTTTCTTCGCCAACTTGGCGAGACGCTGCATCTGCTCCTTGCCGCGGTCGGGCGCCTTTCCCGGCGTCTTCTCGCTCCCCTCCACGCCTGGCCACACTCGCAGGTCAAACATGCCCTTTATCACAACAAGATTTATTTTTTTTAATTTACAAAACAAGTACATGTAACACCTTTTAACGTTTATACAGCAGAAAAGACTACCCATTATCTTATAAAAATATATATACATATATATTATTATATTTATTATTCTCGTATTATAAAGGTGAATGCAAACTGCCGCGAAAGTGATTTCCGAGCGTTGACGTCTCTGATAAGATATATCTTCGCGAGAGGGCCATTAGCATAAACAATTTATATTGCAAAATGAACGTGTTGTGATCATAGACGTGCATTTAAATAGATGTCGCAATCTCATTACATTTGGACTGGACATGGGTCTTTATTCACAAGAGAGATGCTAATTTAGTCCCAGTATATATTCTATTTAGAGTTTTTCTTCTCTAGCACGTGTTTAAAATCATTTACTTAGTCACCTCTTACGACGTCCTGGGGATGAAAAGGATTAGGGACATATGGGACCATATATTTATCACAGGGTGAGGGGGGATAATGGATTGTTAAAAATGGGCATTAGTAGCCCCATTGTTAGCAATACACCCTGTCAGGCCGACCTCCTCGCGGTTCCCCCTGTGAATTGAATTCATCACGATAGGCTGCCTTGATGAATTTACTTGGAATAGAACTGACTTGCCTTTTTTCATTGTCACCTATCATCCCTAACTCACTCATCCCTCACAATTATCATCCATTAAAAAAAATAAAAAACATGATAAAGAAAAACGGATTTCTGCAACTTTTGACTACCATAGAAGTATCCACGTCTATCGATCTTCATACTTGCTACATCTATTTAAAATTCTGTCCATGACAGTGATAATGTCTTAAGTGCCCGTCATTCACTAACTTGCAAGTTTACGTATGAACGAATGAACTTATTAACTAAAGAACTAAAGAATTTAAATGAAAATTATCATTTAAATTCTTTAGTTCTACAACTATTAATCATTACTAACTATTGCCAATTGTTTACTGACATTATTGTACACAAATTTTGCATGCCATTGTTTTGGCAAAACACGCATGTTTATGACATGTTTACCAGAGGGAGACTTTGTACAAAAATCGTTTGCTTTGCCACCTCTGTTCCATTGGTGTTTCTATCGTGAAGCAGTTATGTTTACATGCATGTGTTTCGGTTTGAAAGGTGGGATATGGCAGTGAATTTACAGGGTACAGAGAAATAACACCTGAGTCCTTAGGAATGGCAACGCATGGGGGTATCATGGACGAAACAGTATACTCTGTTATGTCCATGGTACTGCTCATGTCTATAGGCGACGGTTACCACTTTCCATCAGGTGGGCCGTCAGCTTGTTTGCAATTCTAAGGTATAAAAAAAAAAAAAACATTACGAATATTACTAGCATCTGTACACCGTGTTTTTGAGTAAAAAAAAAAAAATCATTAAATTTAATTAATAAATATTATTACATGATTCATTCACTTTTATTTAAGAAAAATCTTTATTTTGTACGGTAAATAACTGCCATATTAAGTGTGTATAAAGATAATTAAAACTGTGATAACCTATGTTTAGCAATTGTAAATAAGTGATTGATTATTATGCATTAAAATAAATTTGATGTAATTAATTCTGGAATGTTCTTATCAAGTACCATGTCTTTTGACTAGGATTTTCTTAGTTTGCAAATGAGATCTTTATATCCTAAAGATCAGTCATAGATGAGCGATAGCCCCATAAAATAAACGATGACCCGTAAAAAACGATATATGTCAATGAATACTGCTAATATCAATGATAATGGAATGGTAACCTCTTTGTGTTAACGGTATACGCTGGCAGTGCACTATTGAGGGATGACAGGTGAGGTTTAAGTCAGGCAAGTAGTGGTTTTATCAGAAATTAAACATGATGATTTCTGGAGGTATGTTACATATGTACTACATATAAATCATAGAAATAGCAGGAAAAAATTGTATGGATGTTGCTACAGATCGAAATAAATGGAACATGAAGGAGGAGGCTTTTACCCATAGGGGAACAATTGGCCAAAACAAAAAAAAATGTTAACATTTATTAATATTGAAAAAAAATATTTACAAGATTAATTGATCTTGTAAAGTATGAAAAATAAAGCTATAATAATAATAATATAATTATAGTCTTTATTAATAATTTCTTTCCCCTGTGGTATACTCATAGCCTATGGCTTTGGTTAGACCATTACTGGATTTCTAACCTAACTATATAGAGGTAAGAAAATTGTTAGTAATAGGGTCTCATGGCCTCAATATTGGGTTTAACAAGAAATTCTCCATGTGATTCCAGTTAGAAACTATTTATGTTTAAGTCTTGGTGAATCTGTCATGATACATTAATTGTGTGATTGAGTGATCACCAGTGAGTGATGGTAACATATACAAATAGGGCAGGCAGAGAGAGAAAAGAGATTGTTAATAAGACCGCCTTTTGTATCACTTCTCATTAATATTTACTGTATTTGTTATTTTTCTTTTTACTTGGTGCAATTAATTGTAAAATAAATAAATAATGGGGATTACAAGTGCCATTGCTAACAATAGACCCTGTCAGGTCGAATTCCTTGCGGTTCTCCCTTAAAACTATTGTGATCTATTCCAAATGAATTCATCACAATTGGCCTGCAAACGACCTGCCTTTTCTTCCTTACCTATTATTCCTCACAGGGGCGCCGCCAGCGTATACCGTTAGCGCAGGTAGGACCATTCTATTATCATCCCTTTAACAAAACAATTGGGGCGAGCAGAGTTATTGTTAAGTTTTCATCCCATAACCAATATACCCATACCCAAACTAAACCAAACAATAGGGCAAGTGGCAAACTTTTCCATTACATAAAAAAAAAAACTTAATTGTTTAAAAAAGATCACAGGTTTATTACAAATCTGACTTACCTGTCTCAACATGCCATGCTTCCCGAACAAAGATATTGTGGTACCACCAACGACCATAACTTTGCCAGGGCCAGCACAGTCGTATATGGTCATAGCCAGGGTTGCGTTCCGAGGCAAGTCGCTGAAGTACACTGGCAAACTCACCCATTCATTCCAGCTGCAAATATATGATTATACATTATTTTAATTAATACAGATTTAATACAACTAGTGGTCACTCAGTGGTTGAAATTCGACCATAACATATATTGTAATAAATCAATTTATTATGGTTATTTTTGACATTCAGTAAGACTCTAGACAAATAATATTAAAGACAAACAATATTAATCTATTCACAATTTGACCACAGATTTTAACAATAAACAAAAGAGTATATGAATGTGTGTGTATGTGTCAAATACATGGTAATATTACACTACATTTACATTAAAGTATTTATTTTTTTCTTTCAAGTTAGTCTTAATTTAAAAAAAGTGATAATACACTCCAATATGTAGTGTGTACCCAGGAACGCTTAGGTTGTGGAATGAGCTCCCTATCAAGGTTTTCCCTATAGAATATAGTATGGGGTTCTTAAAAAAGCATATATTAAGGATTCTTCAGGGTCGGCAATGTGCATGTGACACGCTAGTATTGCAGGCACCCATAAGCTACAGTGGTAATTTTCTTTTACAACACAGGGGGCAAACTAGCATGTGGCTCACCTGATGGTAAGTGACTACCGCCGCCCATGATCACCAATGGCATTGCAGGTGCGCTGCCAGGCGTTTTAGAAAGGAATATGCTCTTGTCTTGAAGGTTTACCATCAGACAGGCTGTATGCTTGTTACCTTTGTGGTATAAAAAAAAGTTACATTTATATGGTATTAACTTACTTCCATCTATTAGTGAATGCTTTATATGAAGTAGTGACAGGTAGTGCCAGTGGCACTCCATCACTGAGGACTTGGCACGTCACATATAGGTCAGAGCATCCCTCTTGATATAGTCCAGAGAACTTGAGCATAGGATCCGAGAGTAACTTGTCATACTCAGGTTTAGTGCGTTTGCCTTCTAGTGTGCCACTGAAAATAAAAATAAACATCATTGGACTAATAAGCCCAGTAATAACAAAGTACCATCTACTTCCAAAGTAAGCAAACATTGTACTGTGTTAGTTAATTAATTACTAGCTTATATAATGATAGTTTTGGCCATGCGGCCCCAGTTTAGAATAATTTTTACTTTCCTGTGGGTGTCGTAAGGACCGACTAAGGAAGGGCAAGTGATGGACAGCAACATCCCTATTAAAACATCTCTAAAACTGGACTGCGGTTGCCAATTCACCTGCCAAGTGTGGCAACTACTGGCAAAACTTTGGCTCCCCAAAGGGGAGGCTTATGTTCAGCAGTTGACAGTTAAAGGTTTATTATTTTATCATCTAACTTATTACTGAACCCAATTCACATTTCTTTTTTTATTCTTGCTTAATAATGAAGTAAGTGAAATGGTAACACCGCCTATACTATTGGTATATGCTGGCGGGGTATCAGTGTGAAATGATAGGTTAAGAAGAAGACACACCAATTAGCGGATCATGTTAAATTCGCCAGGAATTAACCATGACATTTCCAGGGAAGACCACATGGAGGTTTTACCTGATTGGATATATTGCTAGCGATGGGAATTAACAACCCTATTCCTATCATTTACTCTCCCACTCTTTCCCAATTCACATTTTGTGGACCTCCAGGTTATTATTATAAGTACATGAACCATTTTCAAAATGTATACTTTATATTTACGTTTCTTTGAAATCCGTTATTCTCTAATCATGATCAAGTAACAATGAAAGAATATTAAAATTGAACGTAATTAGGGCACCTAATTACGTTTCATTTATATATTTAAAGACTGTTTTCTTTGTTAAATATATGATTATATTATTAAGATTTAAGATTCAAAAATGAATTAAATTAAAAATGAAAGTATTGGAAGCAAACTTGACAGTTTATTTTTTATTAAATATACCCTATATATTGTAACCCTGACCGAAATATTAAATTCTTCATACTTACATCTTTATTTCAACCTTGTGGTCGAGAGATGAACTGTATACATAGTAAAATTTATCGTCGATCTCGTTCATTGTGCCGTTAAAAAATGCTGTTCGATTATTAATTTACAAGGCTAAGTTGTAATTGTGTAATCATTATAAAACTTTCAAATACTTTACTTTCGATAATACTGAGATTACCACATGAACGAGAAGCAAAAAAAAACTATTGTTTATTTTGGACTGTTCTATCACAGACTACTTAGAGAACGTTCTATAAATTAAACCACAGATTACACAGACTATACGATAAAGACAGATGACAGCAGGTGGCTAACAGTTAATATTGACAGCTAACGACAATAGTGACTGATGTTGAATTAGCTATTTGAACGGATGGCCTACATTTAATAATATTTACCATTTACCTAGGTCAAAATACCCTTATAAAAACCGAAATTATTAAACTATGTTGATCTGGTTGTGATTTGCTCTAATATTCAAAGATATTTAATTTTTTGACAACATTCACTATAATTCCGAACCAAGAAATTTTTAAGTGTTTTCATGTCATAGAGAAAAGTTTTATTCCATATAGACACATTTCCTTATATTTTCTACATTTTTTTTTTAATTTATTCATGACCATGGATACAAGTCCTTCAGTCGATATTTTTTTCTACATTGACTACGGGGTTGACATTGCTATAAATACTATAATGTCTAAAAGATAATAGCAGATAATTTTGAAAAACTAAACAGATTTTAATTAAAGATTAATTAAAGACTAACAAGGGACTAAATGTCTGTTTTCTGTAAATTATTTAAAAAGAAAAATTAAACTTAGTAAATAATATTCTCTTAAATCTTGTCCTAATTATTTCTTATCTAATTTATAGAAAGGAAACTATGTATTGAGAATCTTGTTGATTGATAATATTTACTTGTTCATAGGCCGTTACATTTCAATGTTGTTAACTTAAGGTTACAGAAAACCCCTGATTTAGGGAATTTTTCAAATGGTATACAATTTTAAATTTCTATTGATTAAGTTGTTTTTAATTTGTAGTATTGATTCATTTAATAAAGTAAACAAAATATTTTCTATACGATTTTGTGCTCACCCCAGTATTGTTTGATGTCGATCCTAGAATCAGGAGTGGAGCTTTCAGCCATGGAGAAGACACATTTGAGGGTAAATGAATGAATGAATGAATGAAATGACATACGGACATTCAAGCATAGCAGCTATGCTGTCTCTGTTGTAGTTTTAGCAGTAATACTTATATAGTACAATTGTTCCTTAATCTTGTTAAAGTCTTTGTCTAACGGCATTAAAACTCGTCTCTATCTATGTACTAGCTAGCAACTTGTTTGTTAATGTCCTATTGAAACAATTTTTTTTCCTTGTTCTTAGCTGTCGGTATACATTGGCAGGTACCCACCTGTGATTGGGGTAGTCGGCCCATCGTGAAAAATTCGACAAGAATGAACCACGATGATATCGGGGGGAAAGGGATTGTTAGTAGTGGGATCAAATAGCCTCATTACTAGCAATATACCCTCTCAGGTCAACCTCCATGTGGTTCCCCCAGGAAACCATCGTGAACAATTCTTGTCAAATTCGTCACGATGGGCTAACTGACCTACTTCATCCTCACCTATCATCCGAGGTTTTCCCAAAGACTACAGCATGGGGTTCTTCAAAAGGGGGGTAAAGAGGTTTCTTCAGGGTCGGCAACGCGCGCGTAATACCTCTGGTATTGCAGGCGTTTATAGGCTACGGTAACCGCTTACCATCAGGTGGGCCGTATGCGTGTTTGCCACATCAGTGGTAAATAAAAGAAAAAAAAATCCTTCATTGGTGCCCCACCGGTGTATACCGATAGCGCGGGTGGGGTTACCATTCCATTATCACCAATGGGTGATAATATATTTTCAATGGAAAAAAACCACGATGATATTCAGTGGGAACTGCGTGGAAATCGATCTGATAGGGTATATTGCTAGTAATGAGGCTGTTGAAACCCATTACTGACGAACCCTTTCCTTAGTAATTCTATTAAAAGAAACAGAAACATGCTAACGACTATAATCTTTAATTAGGTAGTGAAGGACTTGTCGTCTATTATCGTTGTCGTGGGCGACAACTAGACATGTTCAATGTTAGTTATAAAATATTTGTTCATTTGCCATTTCAAATTGCATAAATAATGTTTACTGATGAATTCTGGCCGTTTTTATTCACAAACAAATACGTAATTTTAAAAAGAAAAATAAAAAAAAAGTCAAAGTGCTTTTGATAAGTATGCAAAGTCTTCTTTTAAGTGAAACGTTCTTCAGTATAAGCTGTAAAGGTTAATTATTTATAAATGTGATTATTTTTGCTCGTTATAATACAAAAATATCAAAATGTCCGTTGAGCAAAGCGAACAAGTTGTGCCTGATACATTGGAAGAAGCAGGTGCTTTGGAGGCTGATGTTGGAGCGAAATTGTGAGTAAAATCTAAACTAATATACTATGTTAAAAAATGGAAAGATTTGGTTTTTTAATTGCATGGGATAAACTAAAAAAAAAAACTATTTAAGGATTTTTAAAATAATCTACAATTCAATCACAAATCATAGTTTAGTAGTATAGTATTATATTACTTGTTTGTGTTTAAACTAAGGAGTAAAAATTTTATTTTTATTTGCAATGGTTAAATGCTCAGGCTGTAAAATGAACTCCTTGCTGAGGTTTTCCTAGAGACTACAGTATGGGGTTCTATAAAAAGGTTACATTAAGGATTTTTCAGAGTTGGTAACGCACACTTGATACCCATTATATTACAAGCGTCCATAGCCTACAGTGACCGTTTACCAAAAGGCGAGCTGTATGTTTTTTACCTTTGTGGTATAAAAAATAAACTAAAAAAAACTAACCAATTTTAAAATTCTTTAACCTATAGAAAGCTTTAAAAAAAAGCTTTTTTTTAAAGATCAGCAATTAATATAGGCTGTATTTTATTTTTTAAAAACCGTGCTAAGCCGATGTCACTAGTATTTGCTAACTTCGAAAACACATGGGTCTGACCTAGCATGTTTTTGAACTACTGAGATCCGAGCAAAATTGTCAATCATTACACATGACAGCATTGATTCGAAGGCGCATCTTCTGCTTGTGTTATTTGGTAGGCGGAAGACTTTACAACCGACTTTAAAAGAGGTCAACTAATCGGTGTTTTTCCCGAGTATTGCGATATGTTCATTGATTTTGAACAGACTGTTCATGTTGATTCGTCGATATTGTTTGTGTGTCTATGTTATGGAATGTCTTCATGAACTCTGAACCGACGTTGATGATTCTTTTTGTAGCCGATAAGTTTTATTTCTATATCATTCTATTCTATACAATGTTTCTATAGTAATTTAGTTACGATTATCACTTTAAAACACACAATTATAAACTTAAAGAAAAAGGAAATACAAAAATAAACTAACACCTAATTAGAAATTATAGGGGAAAGGGATTGTTAATAATGAGATTTAACAAACCCATTGCTAGCAATATACCTATCAGGCCGACCTCCACACGGTTCCCTTGGGAACCATAGTGGTAAATTCTTGTTCAATTGATCACCATAGGCCAACTGACCTGCCTTCATCATCACCTGTCACCCTTCACTGGTACCCTGCTAGTGTATACTGATAGCGCAGGCGGGGTTGCCGTATATCTTCACCCACAAATTGAAAATTATATGACCAAAATGGTTACCACTCCAGCTAAGTGTTTAGGCATTCATATATATAATATGTATATATGTTATTCATGTTTTCATTTTATTTCAGTAAAATATTTTTTTATTATAAATTTATTTTTTTTATTAAACGTGGTTAATTAAGTTTATTCGTTTTAAATAGAACCATAGACTTGACTAAATTACTTGTTTGAATTCACAATAAACACTTGTATCGAGCAGCGCGAGTGAATAATACATGCATAACTCAGTGTCTGGAGCTCAGGGGGCCATACCATGAAATGTTTTCCGAAATTTCGCAGTGAACGACACAAAATGTTATGTTAAAATTACATATATGCAACATACCGTTTAAATAGTAAATACATTGAAGTACACAATTCGTGAATTTTATGGTAGGATTTATGTTGAACAGAAATGTTAAGCTCTATTTACTGGATGATTTCTGTATGAACGAAAACACGGAAATTGAGTCCGGAAATTCGTAATTTTATTCACAGGGGGTGTATTATGAAAATGTAGTCCCAAAGTTTTCAGACTCAATTTTGTGTTTTCGTTCGGCCTAGTAAATCGACTTAACATTTCCTTCGTCGCCGTCTACCATAAAGAGGAACGATATTTCTGCGTATTTTTATACGGAATTGTATTATGCAATTTGTACTATTTCGTTCGGCCCCGAAATTGCGGAAACATTTCTGCCGGCGGGGCCTTTGGTTCTTAGAACATAGCTCGTGGGCGAAGGACTTGTTGATAGAGACGCTAGTTTATAATTGGGTACCTAATACTCGATTTATTCTCATTTCATTAGATACGTTTCTTTTAAATTTACGAGCTCTCTTGTGTTTTTTAAAGGGTGAAAATGGAATGGTAACCCGCCGAGCTATCAGTACACACCGACGAGGTACTTGATGGAAGATGATAGGTGAAAATAAATGGCGAGTCAGTTGACACATGATGAATTCGGAAAGAATTAAACATGATTGTTTTCAGGGGAACGGAGGTCGACCTGAGGAAGGTATATTGCAATGGGGCTATTAAAGTTCATTACTAACAATCCCAATATTGTTAGCAGTGAAACCAATTGAACCCCATTAATGATATATATATATATATATTTTTTTATATTTAGATATATTTACAGTATACTTATTCTTTGTCTATAACTATCATGCGATAGTTTTGATTCAATCAACGAGTTCTAGTACGACGGTAGTATATCAAGATAAAGAATTTGTATCAGATTGCAAGATAGACGTTCAGAAATACAAAGTTTGTA